ATATCTTTATTTAACTTTACTTTTTTTATGTGGTGCTGAGGATTGAACCCAGTGCCTCATGCATGCTAGGTGGGCACTCTACCACTGACCCACTAACCCTGCCCTCAGTTGTGGTTTTGATTTACATTTGCCAGATGATTGATGATGTTGAACATGTTATTATATACTTATTGGCCATTTGTATATCTTTTGAGAAATGTACATTCAGATCTTTGGCCTGTTTTAAAAAATGGATTATTTGTTTTTATGCTATTGAGTCTTTTTTTAAAGATTTTTTTTAGTTATCATTTTAATATTTTTAGTGGTTATGCGGTGCTGAGGATCGAACCCAGTGCTTCACACATGCTAGGCAAGCGCTCTTCCTCTGAGCCACAACCCCAGCCCCTGTTGAGTCTTTTTAATTCCTTCCCTTGTTGGAGATATTGTTTGCAAATATTTTCTCCTACTCTATAGATTGTCTATTAACTCTGTTGATTATTTCATTTGCTGTGCAGAAGCTTCTTAGTTTGATACAATCCCACTTGTCTATTTTTGCTTTAGTTGCCTGCACTTTTGAGGCTCATCCAAAAAGCATTGCCTATACAAATGTTTTACAGTGTTTCCCCTGTATTTTCTTTGAGTCATTTAATAATTTTAAGTCTTGCATTTAGGACTCTGGTTCATTTTGAGTTGATTTTTTAAATATTTATTTTAGTTGTTGATAGATCTTTATTTATTTATACATGGTGCTGAGAATCGAACCCAGTGCTTCATACATGCCTGGCAAGTGCGCTACCACTGAGCCCCAGCTCCAGCTCTTGAGTTGATTTTTTTAAAGGATGGAAGACAGGGCTCTAGTTTCATTCTTCTGCAATTTCTTTTTTTTTTTTAAATCGGCGGGTGAGGGTGGGTAACCAGGGATTGAACTCAGGGACCCTAGACTACTGAGCCACATTCCCAGCCCTATTTTGTATTTTATTTAGAGACAGGATCTTACTGAGTTGCTTAGCACCTCGTTGTTGCTGAGGCTGGCTTTGAACTTGAGATCCTCCTGTCTCAGTCTCTCAAGCCACTGGGATTACAGGTGTGTGCCACTGTGCCTGCCTCTAAAGCCCAAATTTTATCCATTTTATCGCCTCTCAAGAATTATATATTGTTTCTCCTATTACAGTTGATAAATCTGAGACTCAGAGATTTTACATACCTTACCTAAGGTCACTCAGCTAATAAATGATATGATTCAAACTCTATCAAGCCTGATTCAAAGCCCATGCTCTCTAGCCCTTTGCTCTGCTGACTTCTTAGACTAAAGACACAGCCTTTGCTTGTTCTACTATTCCCAACTTCATCTAAACAACTGAGTTCTGCCCCTTTGTTATCTTGGTATATCTAGACAAGTGGATGAGTTGCAACAACCACCAGAGCTTAAACTGGAGCCAGAACTGCCATTGTTAGACCTGGATCTGGGGCTGCCATCAGAGCCAGACCTGGGGCTCGGCCTGGAGTTAGAGCTGGATGCAGGGCTGAATCTGAGGTCAGTGCTGGACCCTGTGCTGGAGACCACTCTGGAGCCAGGACTGGAGCCCACACTGAGGCCTGTGCTGGAACCTACACTCTGCAGGGTATCACACAGCGTGCCAGAGCCAGACCTGAAACCTGTATTACAGCCAATGCCAGAGCCGGATTTACCCTGTGATCTGCAAAACTTGAACACTGAGGGAATGGAAAGTAAGTGATGAGATGGAACTAGGGAAGAGAAAACACATTCTTTCCTACCTTCCTCTCTGACCCATCACAGAAAAGGCTGAGCTCCATGCTCCTCATTGGAGAGAGAGGCTCATTTCCTGTTGATTCCTTTTATTAGGAAATGCACATGCCTCCCCCTACGCTCATCCTCCATCCTCCAAAGCTCCCCTCAAGCCTTTCTGCTATTGTCCCTCACTTTTCCTGTTGGGTTGGGAACTACCAACTAAGATCAGGGTCTGACTTTTCTTTCTGAATTATCCAGTCTTCAGAAACTGTAGAATAGAAGAAATCATGCCAAATGGTGACCCGCTGTTGTCTGGCCAGAACACCACTGACGAGGCTTACATCTCCTGCCCCAGCCATTTCTACACGGATGTACCCTTGACTTCTGACTTCTAGGAGCTACATTTTCTCTGTTATTTCCAAATCTTTTGCCCCTCCTACTCTTCACATCATGATGCTGCTCTTCAAGTATGGGAAATTAGAGATTCTAAGCTGGGGTTCAAGGGGAGAGGTGAAAGAAACATGAATGTGGAAGGGCACCAACAAATCAGAACAGGTACTAGCCATAGTTCTAAATAAGGTCTTGGAGGCTATCTGCTGTGCTGGGAGTCTTAGGGGTCCTGCAGCAGGCCCGGATAGTTTGCAGGTATTGGAGGGCTCAGGGAAGTGGCTTCTTTCCAGTATGGAAGGATTTCAACATTATAATAGTTGGTAAGATTAAACTGGCACACACTAGCATTGGCCCTTTGTGAAGAGTACAGACATGTTATAGAATTCCACTTCTCTTATTATTAAATTCCATTTCTCTATTGGATATTAGTGAATTCAGGGCCTCATGCATGCTAGGCAAATGTTCTATCACAGAGCTGCACACCTAGCCCTTTCTCTCTTCTGGTTCCAACTTTTATCCATTCCTGTCTAGGATAGTTGTGTTTTTTTGTTTTTTTTTTTTTTCCTTTCTTCTTTTCTCGATTCCTGATTTCTTCTTCTTCTTTTTTTTTTGTTTTTGTTTTTGTTGTTGTTATTGTTGTTGTTACCAGGGATTGAACCTGGGGCACTTAACCACTGAACCACATCCCTCACCCTTTTTTAAATTTTTTAAAATTTTGAGACAGAGTCTCACTAAGTTGCTTAGGGCCTCACTAAGTTGCTGAAGCTAGCTTTGAATTTGTAATCCTCCTGCCTCAGCCTCCTGAGTTGCTGGGTTTACAGGCATGTGACACTATGCCTGGCCTAAATTTCTTATTTTCTTGCAGGGGTTGAGAGCTTTCTGTCTCAGCCCAGCATGTAAAGCTCCATTCTGAGTAAGGATGTAAAACAGAACTCTTCTTACCAGTCTTCTGCCCTGCTCTGCCCGCTGAGTTGCCTGCATCCTCTCCTTCCCCATAAAGTGATCCTGCCACTCTAATGTGATTGAGAAGCTTTGCACACTAATTTAGGCTGCCTAGGCTCCATTTCCCCACTTAAGAGACAATCACTCCTGGAGGTTGGGATGGTAGGGTTTCTGGGAATGTAGGAGTTGCTTTATATAGTATTGGATAAAATTTGATGTTTTTACAGAGGAAGAAATGCTTTGGTAGCTATTTTTTTTTTTTTATTAAGACACCATCCCTTCTTTTGTACAATATAGTGTTTGCCTGAAAGGAAGGTCTCTATTCCTTGGGTATAGACCTAGGCAAAAACCACACCAAAGTTCCTGGAACTTAGAACCTTGAAAGTTTATCATATGACCCTGGACATCCTCATACCTTAGCCATTCCCAGGGAACCCCAGAGGCAACTGCCGTTGCTCTTAGATGTGCTTCTGGTGTAATTTAAGGTATAAATGAAAGAGGAGCCCTGCAGAGGTGACTATTTCTTGCTTGGTATTCAAGCAAACAGCTCAGTTCAGAAAGGGTCTCTTCTGAGCAGAAATGACTAATAAACTTTGTGCTAACCTTGAAGTGTCTTATCTCGGAACTTCTTCTCCACTCACAGAGACTAAAGTCCTTGGGGACATCATCAGGGACATCCAATATATAAGAGTGAGTTCAGCAAGTTGTGGCCTCTGTTCACCTCTGCATGCCCTTCTTGTTGTATTTCTTCTTTGTCCCTCCATTTGGAGCCGGCCTTCCTGCTTTGCAAATTCTTTGGGATGGGGGTGAGTGATATGTGTTGGGGGTGGGATATAAGTGTTATATGACCATCCTATCATATACTTAGTGGGTGGCAAAGCCAAAACATAAATCCACGTCTGTCTGACTCTGAAGCACACATTCTCTTGATGCTGGGACTGCAGCGAAAAGGAAAGCAAATAATCACTAAGTCCTTCCCTTCCTTTTTTCAGATAGTTTAACTCTCTTCTGGAGTTAACAGAGGTCCTTTAAGGGAGAATCCCATTGGCTTAAGAGATTTACCTTTATCTTCTTGGAATGCCCTTCCCTGCTCACAGCTGAGCCCTACTTTTTTTTTTTTTTTGTATTGGGGAACAAATTGGGGAACACTAAGCTAATTCCCAGCCCCACTCCCACCTTTTTAAAAAATATTTATTAGTTGTAGTTGGACACAATACCTTTATTTATTTATTTTTATGTGGTGCTGAGGATTGAACCCAGTGTCTCACACGAGCTAGGCGTGTGCTCTACTGCTGAGCCACAACCCCAATGCCCCCAGCCATGTTTTTTTCTGAGACAGTCTCAGTAAATTGCTTAGGGCCTTGCTGTTAAATTGCCTCCCGAGTCACTGGGATTACATACATGTGCCATCATGCCTGGCTGTGGTCTAATTTTTGATTCTGTAGTGACTGGGGCTCCTATCTTTGGCTCCTATATTCTTGGCCAAGATAGCGGGCAATGGATCAGGGAGCAAGTGTCCTATAGGTGTGCCTCCACTTCCTAATCTCAACTCCTTATAATCCCAGGCTGTTTGCTCAGCCATCAAGGATTTATACTGAAAATATCCCAGTGGCTGGGTATGGTGGCACATACCTATAATTCTAGTGACTCGAGAAACTGAGGCTGAAGAATTGTCAGCTTAAGGCCAGTCTCAGCAATTTAGCAAGACTCTGTCTCAAAATTAAAAGTATAATGTGGATCAGTGGTTAAGCACCCTGGGTTCAATCCCTGGTACAAAAAAAAAAAAAAAAGATCCCCCAGGGAGTTGTGAGAAAATCTCACTCTCCACCATAGACCTTCAGAATAGTAGAAAAGTGTACATGTTATAATCCCTTGGCCCTACTTTTCCCATCCATTTATCTTTCACAGTTGAACTTAGAAATTAGACTTGAGAGCCACATAAATAAATCTTTATTGAAAAAAATATATAATTACTTATAAATATAATAAATAATCCTCCTCTCCAAACTGTTCCCATGAGGATAAATAGTACCAAAATTTCTCTTTCCAGCTAATAAATATGCAACTTTGTCACAGGTCATCATCTTAAGTCAGTATTAGCAGTTTTTCAACATGCAAGTCCTATTAAAATTAGTGGGCTAATTAACTTGTTGGCTCATAGTTGTGTGGGTCGATAGATATATCTTATCATTGCTGAGCCATGTCCATCTGGGTGCCATCTTTAAGCTGTTGCCTTCAGGGGCTCTGGGTTGCTGCTCCATGGGCAAACACCCGGGCAGCTACAGCTATAAAGGCCTGGAGGCTGCGAAGGATCTTGAAGCGGAGAAGGAGACGTTGCCACGGCTGGCTGGGACTGGGGTTGGGAGTCTGTGGAGTCTCCAAGTGGTGACCCTCAGGCTGAAAGGACACAGTGCAGTCAGAAAAGACTCTAGATCCTTATCCCATAGCCTCTGTCTCTTAACACCAGCTAGCCCCCATCCTCCACACCACTTGTTCATACCTGTAGGAGTTGGCTGAGGCCCAGAAGGGAGGCATGAAGCTGGCCCACAGGACCATCATCCCCTGTGAAAATGTCTGAGCCCAGAAGCTTCTCATAAAAAATCAGACCCTGGTGGATCCTTTGCAAGCAGAACTAGAGAGAAAAGAAAGCAATAAAAGGTGGATACACTATTCTTATTCATTGAAGATCCACCCAGTTCTTTACCATTCTCAGAAAACTTCTAGTTCACCACAGTGCCCAGCTATAGGCCCAGTCCCCTCTCCCTTGAGGGCTAGCCTCATCTTAGTGGTACCTGACTATTGTCCCTGAGTCCTTGGGGATCACAGCCATCCCCACATTGGATATGGGGGACATCATTTGTAGTCTCTTCTTCTCCCTCTTCTCTCAGTAGATCCTGGAATGGAGAAAGGGAATGGGAAGAATACAACACATACTTATTGTTTTCTTTGCAGTGCTGGGGATTGAACCAAGGGCTGAACACATGCTAGGCAAGTGCTCTATGAGCAACAACTCCAGCCCAAGATAAGTACTTTTAAATCTTACTGGATCCTTACACCCATGATTCTCTCAGGAACCCCAGTCTCCTTTCCTTTCTCATTCCCTGATCGCCTTCAACCCTTAAGCATCCACCCAAGGCCACAGCTTCCATTCAGTCATGCAGCCTTGGAAGGCTTGAAGAGGTTCCTTTCAGTCCCACAGGCTAACACTCACCATATGTCCCACTAGTGGATGTGCACTCCAGACCAGTGTGCAGAGCTTCTGTGAGAGCTCCTGGCACTGAGCCCAGGAAGGGCTGCTACTCCCAGGCACAGCCCAGCCCTGAGCTGTCCAGGGCAGCAGCAATAGCAGCATCACAGCTCTGATCCCCAGCATTATGTCGCCTACTTCTCAAATCTGTTTCTGTGACCTGCACTAGTCCTTGTGGAATCTCTGCCCACTTCCCCTTGCTCTGAGACTAATTCTGTCTGATCTGCTTTGGTTCTGGTTCTCTCTGTTTTTCACAGAGATTCTGAGCTGCTTCCGTTGTTTTTCTCCCTCTTTTTAAGGTCCCTGCATTGTAAGGCCCGCCCTTTACACTAGCAGGTGACTCACAGCAGGTGGGATTCCCCTCCCTGCATCATTCCCCTCTGTGGAGAGCCCAGGTATGTAGCCTCAGTTCCAGGGGAAATGAGTAGTGAGGTTGCTGTGGCTAGAAGCCTAGGATGAGATACATGTGTAATGCTCTCCAGGAATTGAAATGGCTTTAGAAGGGGTAGGGGAAGTAACGAACATTTAAATTAATCTGGTCTCAAGTTCCTTCCTGTTTAATCTGTCTCTGATCTTTTTGCCTCTCAAAACTATACCCCTACCACACCCCAAACCTAATTTCCTCACTTCCTCTTGCCTGAGGAAAAACCAAAAACAGAGAAACATTCACTCAACTCCCAAAAGGATGGTGAGCTCATCTTGGAATGAAGTTTGATTCCTACCTAATGACCTGCTATCTAAGAATAAGGGAGTTCTTTTTCTCCATTGGAAAGTCTACCCCTTACCCCCATTGGGTGGTCCTAGTTTCTTAGGAGAGAATGAACATTAAGGTACTTGTGAAATGGGAAGCCATATGAGTGTAATATAAGGTATTATTATGGCTGGCATGGTGGCACATGCCTGTAGTCTCAACAACTCTGGAGGCTGAGGCAGGAGGATTGCAAGTTCAAAACCAGCCTTAGCAATTTAGCAAGGCCCTAAGCAACTTAGCAAGACCCTGTCTCTCAATAAAATATAAAAAAAAAAATGGCTGGGGATGTGCCTCCATGGTTAAGCACCCCTGGGTTTAATCCCAATCCCAGGTACCAAAAATAAAACAAGGTGTTATTGCTCCCCATTTCAGTCCTCACTATAGAGAGCATTTGTAGAGGTGAGGTTGTTGACTAAGAAGCACCTGTTTTTTTTAAATTTTGTTTTGTTGGTACTGGGAATTGAACTCAGGGGCACTTTATCACTAAGCCACATCCCTAGCCCTTTTTATTTTGAGACAGGTTCTTGTTAAATTGCTTAAGCTAATTTTGAACTTTAGATCTTCCTGCCTCAACCTCCCGATTATAGAATCACAGGAGTGCGCCACCACTCCCATTGCACCTGATTTTTCAACTCATTTAGTGGCCCAAGTTTTCATGGGCTTTGTGGAACTCAGATGATTTTTTTTTTTTTTTTTTTTTTGAGATACCAACATAAGAAAGAACTCAAAGTCCAAAGTAGATATTCTTGTCCCCAGTCCCTAGTCCATGACAAGGAAGTCCAGGAGTTCTGGATAGTTGAAGGTGCCTAGTGACATTACCCCAGACTGGTCCTTTAGCCTGTTGCATCCCTGGGTAAAATCCACTGACACTGATTTCATCACCCTCCCTGATGCAACATCCAGTGAAACAGCTGAGTGTGAGCTTGGGCGTGGGAGAGGAGGGTGGTGGTCTAAAGCTGGGACTGCCCCAAACTTGGTGGAGGGTCCCAGAACAATTTGGACGTCAGAATGAGGGCATGGGTGACCATACAGATGGCTCTCAAAGTCTCTCCAAGAAGTTAACTCTTTTTAAAAAAAAAAAAAAGTATTCATTTTTTAGTTGTAGGTAGACACAATACCTTTATTTTATTATTATGTGGTTCTGAGGATTGAACCCAGGGCTTCACACATACTAGGTGACTGCTCTCTACTTTTGAACTACAACCCCAGCCCAAGAAAGTTAACTCTTTTCCTCTGAGAAACTTGCCCTCAATGGAGGTCTTCTTTCCCTTAGAACTATTTAAAACTGCCCAATGAAACTTTTGGTTCAAATATTATGGTTCTGTGGGTAAATCCACCTATAGGATGAAACATTTCCAGCATCAGAGAATTATCTCAGTTTGGGGAGAAATGGTTTACCTTTGCCTACAAAGGTTGGCTAAATGGAATAAGGAAATTGGAAGGAGGGGCATAAAGAAATTCATGTTACTTTGTAGTGTGTCCTATGCTCTTCCCACTTCTGGTCCTCACTCTGGGAGCCTTAAAAGATATGAGATAAGGCCAGGCATGGTGGCACATACCTATAATCCCAGTGGCTCAGGAGGCTGAGGCAGAAGGATTGCAAGTTCAATGCCAGCCTTGACGAGGACCTGAACAATTTAGTAAGACCTGATCTAAAAATAAAATATAGAAAAGGGGTGGGGATGCGGTTAGCACCTCTGGGTTCAATCCCTGGTACTAAAAAAAAAAAAAAAAAGATAGATGCGCTGTATCCAGAGCCCATAAAGCTACATTTTCAACTCAGATAAATGCTTTAAAACTACACCCTTTGGGGCTAGGGGTATAATTCAGTGGTAAAGTATGTTCAAGGCCCTGGATTAGATACCTAGCACTAACTCTCCCCCCAGCTCCCCCCCTCACCCCCCAAAAAAAGGCAAGTAATGAAAGGGATAAGGCTCAGTTGGCGGTACAAGGCTCTGCCTCTTTGTTTCACTTCCTGGTGCTGCAGCAGTTGGGTAGGAAGCAGGGTTAGTGGGGCGATTGTGGGACTGTTGTGCAGCAGGAACTACTTCCAAGACTACATCTGACCTGGAGCTCCAAGAAGTCCCTGACGTCAGTAGGGACTCAACCGTTATGCAAATATTCACAAGACACTCCTAGACAGGCCTTTCCAGTTGGATGCTCTGACTCCAAATCCAAATGAAGTTCCCCCAGGGAGTTAGTAACAATGGCTAGCAACAGCAGCTAATATACATTGCTACTCTCACTTAATGCCAAGTACTTGGTCTAAGCACTTTATATTAAACCATATAATGCTTACAACAACCCTATAAAGTAGGTATTATTATTATTCCCCTATAACAAATGAGGAGACTAAGGTGCAGTGATAAGTAATTTGCCAGAGATCACAAAGCTGCAAAGTGGGTAATACTGTAGTATAGACAATGTGGCTTCAGATCCTATACATTTTTTTTCTTTTTCTTTTCTTTTTGAGGTACTAGAGATGAACCAGGGGTGCTCTACCCCTGAACCACATCCCCAGTTCTTTTATTTTTTATTTTGAGATAGGATCAAAGTTACTGAGGCTGATCTCAAACTTATAATCTTCCTGCCTCAGCCTCATGAACCCCTGGAATCACAGGTGTGCACCACAGTGCCAGGTAGATCCTGCATTCTTTTGGTTTGGATATCAGGGGTTGAACCCAGGAGTGCTTTACTACATCTACAACCCTTTTTAAAATTTTTACCTCTATTTTGAGACAGGATCTCACTAAGTTGCCAAGGCTGGCTCCCAAATTGCAATCCTCCTCCTTCAGCCTCCCAAGTAACTGGGATTACAGGCATGTGCTACCACACTCAACAATAACAATCCTGCATTCTTTTTTTCTTAAATTTTTTTGTCATTGTAGATGGACAGAATACCTTTATTTTGTTTATTTTTATGTGGTGCTGCAGATCGAACCGAATGCCTCCTCACGCATCCTAGGCAAAGCACTCTGCCACTGAGCTACAGCCCCAGCCCAATCCTGCATTCTTAATCACTCCACTATATTGGATACTGTGAGGACATATGTAAAACTTGACCATTCCCACTTAACCAGCAACAACAACAAAAACAATTAAAAAAGAAACGCATCTCGAGCAGGTGTTGTGGCTCAGGGGTAGAGCACTTGCCTCAAACATGTGAGGCATTGGATTCAATCCTCAGCACCACATAAAAATAAATAAACAAAATAAAGATATTATGTCCATCTATAACTAAAAAATAAAAATTAGTCTTTTAAAAAAATAAATGCATCTTGACTTGTGAAGTACCTTATTTCAGGTTCTGAAATTTTTATGGGTCTTGAAGTCTTTCTCAATTTGAGACTTCAATATGGAGATTTTTCAAAGTATCTGTCTAGATCTCTCAGCACCTACCTTCTTTTTTTTTTTAAGAGTTTGTTTATTTATTTATTTGAGAGAGAGAGAGAAAATTCTTTAATATTCATTTTCTAGTTTTCGGCGATCACAACATCTTTGTTTGTATGTGGTGCTGAGGATCGAACCCAGGCCGCACGCTTGCCAGGCGAGCGCGCTACCGTTTGAGCCACATCCCCAGCCCATGCACCTACCTTCTTGTGAGATTTTAAATCTAAAAATCTGTTGTTGGGGGACATGATGCACACCTGTAATCCCAGTGACTGGGGAGGCTGAGGCAGGAGAATTGCAGATTCAAGGTTAGCCTCAGCAATTTAGTGAAACCCTGCCTTGAAAATCAAAGAGAAGAAGAAGACAACGACGACGACTGGGGAATAGTTAGTGGTAGAGTGCACCTGAATTCAATCCCCAGTACCAATAAACAAATAAATATAAGGACCTGTGAAGTCAGATAAGTTAGATAGATCCTCACACACTTTTGCTGTTTGAACCCAGAGCCTTTAGTATGTCAAGCAAATGCTCTACCACTAAACTATATCCCTAGCCCAGAGAATTGTTTTAAAACTGTACCCTTCAGGTCTGGGAGTGGAGGCGGGGGCGGGGGGGGGGGGCTCAGTGGTAAAGCATATACAAGGTCTTAGGTTCAATCCCCAGCACTGCCCTTCTCTAACAGGCAAAATAGCTTATATCCTCTGTGAGGAATTTCTTACACTGGAGTCCCTCTATGTGGTCTATAGAAACACTAATGACAGCTGGTGCTGGGGTGGCTGACATTCGAGTGTGTGATGTGTGACCATGTTGGGACTGGGATTTGCTGGGGTATCCTGTATTTTCCCAGGAGGCTGGTTGTGGTGAGGGTATTGAGCTGGGGTGGATGGGGTGGGGACCTAGGGAAAAGATCAAGCTGACTCATGTGCTCCCTTGAGAAGAAGGCAAAGCCTGATTTCCCCTAGGGTCAGGAAGGCCTGAGGGTCTCATGTTCTTCCATGAAATGGAAGTGCTGGGGATTGAACCCAAGACCTTGTATATGCTTTACCACTTCCTTCCTTTGAATGAAAGATGTCTCTTATTCAAACATAAAAACTGGGGGCTGGGGTTGTGGCTCAGAGGTAAAGTGCTCATCTAGCATGCGAGGGGTACTGGGTTTGTTCCTCAGCACCACATGAAAATAAAATAAAGATATTGTGTCCACCTATCACTAAAAAATAAATATTTACAAAAAAATAAAATAAAAATTGTGACCCTTGATGATAGGAACTAAATAATTGGTGTGTTAGAGTAGAACCCAGATGAGCTGCAAACTCTCTCCAAGTTGGGATGGTTGAGGGAGAGGTCCAGAGTTCAGTCATGGCTTTATCGCTTTTGGGCTTTGAGGCTTC